CCGCTTTATTAGCACACAGTCTAAAAGACATTCAACCTATCCTTGATAAATTCTCTGGAAGAGCGAAAGCATTTGGAACATAAACAGTACCAGGCAATTCATCTTTCACAAATCCTTCCGTCTTGATGGTATGGCATTAAAAACTGCTGTGGCGTTCACATATGTTTCAGCAACAGTCTCTTCTGATAGAAAAATGGACAGAGAGATCCAATAAAGAAAGACCAAATCCAGCACAGTATTCTGTAATCTTAAACATAGACTATGGGACACCAAAGACGTACCTCTTAGAGTAAAGATCGACATATACCGGTCAGTCGTTCCCTCAACCATTCTCTCGGGGGAGGGGGGTGACGCAAAGATGTACGTGAGGGTTTTGCGCAAGTCTGCTTCATTGGTGAAGGATTTCCCACGAAGATGATTATCCAGGGAGTGGAAGAGGTGGTAATCGGATGGCGCAAGGTCAGGTGAATAAGGTGGATGGCACAAAGTCTCCCACCCAAGTTGCTGTATGGTATCGCTGACCACTCACGTGACATGAAGCCTGGTGTTGTCATGGAGAAAAAGCACACCTTGGCGATTCACCAGTGCTGGCTCCTTCTGGCGCAATGCCTGTTGCACACGTTCCAATTGCTGCGAGTATAGGTCTCCAGTGACCGTTTGGCCCGTTGGTAGCAGTTCATAATGAACCACTTGACGACCTATCCACCACACACAAAGCATAATCTTCCGTGGGTGCATAGGCGGTCTTGCGGCGTGAGGGACAGCATCCTGAGGAGACAACCAATGTCTGGAACGCTTGGTAGTTTCATACAGAACCCACTTTTCATCACTGGTAAGCACTCGATTGAATAATGATACGGTACGGCGGCGAGAAAGCAGCGGTACGCAGGCTGCCACTCGTTGTCCATTGTGGACCTCCAACAGCGTTTGCGGAACACACTTGCTCAGTTTGTATGTGTTACCTAGACGGTGCAGGCGAAGTCCAACTGTTTCATCGGAAACGTTGAACTGTCTTGCAAGTTCACCACACGTTAGACTACTGTCCTCTTCACTGGCCGCCTTCAGACCTCCGTCATTCAAGACCTGTCGTCGTCCACTGCAAGGCTCATCATGGGGAGACAAATCTCCCGACTTGAATTTTCGAAACCAACGCCTTGCAATACTTACATCCACAGCACTATCCCCAAACGCTTGACATATGTGGCGACTTGATGCAGCTGCTGATAAGCCCACTTTAAAGTCGTAAAGCAAATAGCCCCGAACGAGATCTCTAGAAACTTCCATCCTTCTCACAGCTGCCCGGCTTATAACTGATGTCCAGGCACGGTGCGTGTGTTTGTTTTTATAACGTTTGATGTTCCTAGTTCCGGCTGTCCGAATATGAAAACAATTGCTACTCGCATTTCGTATATATTTCAACTTCATTCAATGACTAATCAAAAAACGGACAGAACTTTTTTGGTTACCTTATATATAGAAAATAGGAAAAAAACTCGTTAGGTAAATAATCCAAAGTTCTTTAGTATTTTTGTTATTATTTTTAAAAAGTAGTACTCGATACAAAGCATTAATTAATATATTACTATACGTTTACATATGCATGTGTATATATATATATATATATATATATATATATATATATGTGTGTGTGTGTGTGTGTGTGTGTGTGTGTGTGTGCGTGGGTGTGTGTGTGTGCTATATTGCTGTGGCCTTGTTAGGGCCAGAAATAAAGATACAAAGAGAGGAATTGAGTTAAACAAATATATTAACAGAAACAGTAATACAAACATATACAAACGTGAGTGTTAGAGCACGAATGTTTGGTCCGACTGTCAAAGCTGACGGCTGGAAACTTTCCCCTCCAAACGGCAGTACCTGTTCCTATTTATACCTGGCAGAGTCTATGTGTGCGTGGGTAAATTACCATAAATATATATATATATATATATATATATATATATATATATATATATATATATATATATACTCAAGCAACAATAAATAAAATACAGTAATGAACGTAACCTCTATAAATAGTACCCTAATACGTAAGATATCACACAAGCCAGGTAAAAAAAAAAAAATTGACTACTATTAAGAAAAATAAAGGAATGAGTAAAAATACATGGATAACTGCTTCGCCATTTAAGCATTAATTAAAAAAAAATAATTATTTAAACAAGAAATAAAAACGGTATACACCTATATTTTCCAAACTTAAGAAAAAATATTCGATAAAAAAATGTCCTGTCTGTGGTATCGTGAATAACATTTTTACATAATCTTTTAATATAAGGAGATAAGAAAATTATGAAAAGAAGATATGGACATGACATTTGTACATACGCACAAGTAGAGACGTAATCACACATACATACACATGTCTACACAGAGTAAAAGTGGAACAAATTAACCGAACACCAATAATAAGCAGATAATTTATTTTTTTAGCTTAATATAAAATAAGAAAAATGAGAAAACCGGTAGAGAATTGGTGATATATCCTGACGTGTGAACAGAACAATTACGTCTACGAATCCCTGGAGTCGGTGTGCTGAATATGACATCAATCAGCTAAGTGACAGTTTTTATATTTGTATTAATCATATATATATATATATATATATATATATATATATATATATATATATATATATATAGTCATCCACAGACAGACTGTTTCGAAACCCGGCTGAAGTGGCATCAGTCGGATATTCTGCCACTGAATCGTTGGCGTACGACCTGAATGAAGGTGAATTTAAGGTATTTATTTTGGGAGAACTCGATTCGCTTTACCGAAGAGTTTATATATATATATATATATATATATATACACACACACAGATATATATATATATATATATATATATATATATATATATATATATATATATACATATGTGTGTGTGTATGTGTATAATGTGTGTGTGTATGTGTGTGTGTGTGTGTGTGTGTGTGTGTGTGTGTGTGTGTGTGTGTAAGGTGTATCAAAATACTTTAAAAAGTATGGGGCGGATTCCGGACAACAGAAGAAGGACAAAATTCCATATAAATATATGTCCGAGAATCCTTAGTTTTTGAGTTATTAAATTTAAAGAAATCTCTCGTCCATTACCATTCGCAGTCGCATGTGGAATCATATCTGCCTGCTCACGATATGAATATCCTGACTTTGTTAAACTGAACACTTCTAGGTTAACTCACTACTACATACGTTAAACTTTGAAGAAAGATTAGCTACAAATATACATGAATGAGAAATGTAATCTAGTCTATATAGTTCTTGCTTTGGTGTATGGGACCTGCCCCCAAAGTTCGTAAAAGGATTTTGATTCACTTTTTATATATATATATATATATATATATATATATATATATATGTATGTATGTAAATTAATCTATATATATATATATATATATATATATATATATATATGTGTGTGTGTGTGTGTGTGTGTGTGTGTGTGTGTGTGTGTGTGTATATATATATAATAAGAGTCAAGAGGAGAAACTATAGTTAGTCGACGCGTTTCTTTATCAAGGCAATAATTACCTTGATAAAGTCACTCAGAGGACGAAAACGTTTGGCTAACTATAATTTTTCCTCTTGTCTGTGTATTATTTTTTTCTCTACACACACACACACACACACACACACACACACACACACACACACACACACATATATATATATATATATATATATATATATATATATATATATATATACTTGATATCGTTCGTATTCCTTATTTAGGGCGCATGCTATTCGCTTATGCTCTGACCGTCGCTGGGTACCGCAAAATCTTCCCCGAGGTCTAAGAAGTCGCCTACCATCTCTGTCTCCTTCTGACATTAATCACATCTGCAGCTGTCAACCACAGTATCCTCACAGATGAAGAATAGACTTGAAGCAAGCGAATATGACTCTGCAGAAGGATGCTGAGAATACCATGAATCGGACGTATGAGCAACGACGAAGTTTTGGAGTGAACAGAAGTAAAATTGACATTTAATATAAAATAATATTGAATTAAATATTGTTAGTTATTATTAGTTTTTGAAATAACAGAAACATGGTTCTACAGAAGGATCTTGAGAATGCTATGCATGCAACAGGAGTATAAGGAAGGAATATTAAGAAAAAAATGGAAGACATTCACACTTATAAACAGAAAAAGTTGACATTTCTAGGGAAATCATAGATAGATAGATAGATATGAAGAGAATGAGAATAGATAGCTAGCTAGTTAGATATCAATAAACAGATCCGAAATGAGGAAAGTGGGCTTGGAAAGTTTGATACTCACGGGACATATTGAAGGCGAGAGGAAACAGTCATAACCTGCTTAGAGAACTTGATTTAATGGACGGTAATGCATAGTTTCAAAGAGATAACGAAATGGCAATAGCTACAAAGGACAGGAAATTGTGGAGAGCCAAGATCTCCTGCATCCTGATTTGTAATGGCCCACAGAAGAAAATTATTTGTCTTTTTTTTTTCATCTTTCATCTTCGGCGAAAAACTTTTAAATATTTACAGTCTCTTTATTTATTACTTTTATTGTCTCTTTGATACGTTGTGATTTCAAGATGGTGGTTTCATTCTCTATATTAACCAACTGTTTTTTTTTCTTCAAATCTATCTTTTTATTGGTTTAATTATTTCCTTTGGTTGTTGTTAGTTTTGAGGGGAGAGGGATTTCTTCTTTGAACGTCTGACATTCTCGTCGTTTCTTTCGCAAAAACGATGATGAAACAGGGAAGGAGTAGGATAATAAAAAGAGGAATACACGAAAAATAAAATAACGGGAAAAAAAGGAAATATTTTGCTTTCTGGAACTGAGTATTTTTTCATCCAACATTTAATTATTTATTCACTTTATTTATTTCTATATTTATTTCTTTTCATCGTCGTTCTCGCTTGTTGAAGAATGACTTCAGGGTTTTAAACGATTCTGTACGCATGCGTAGTTATTAATGAGAAGAATGAATTTTTTATGCTGGCAGTAAAAACTAATTCGTGCGAATATCTGTTTATTGATATCTATCTATCCATCTATCTATCTATTCTCATTGTTCATATCTATCTATCTATCTATCTATCTATCTATCTATCTATTCTCATTCTGTTCATATCTATCTATCTATCTATCTATCTATCTATCTATCTATTCTCGCTCTGTTCTGTTTATATCTATCTATCTATCTATCTATCTATCTATCTATCTGTCATCTATCGATTTATCTATCTTCTCTTTCTGTCTAATCATATCTATCTATCTATCTATCTATCTATCTTCTCTTTCTGTCTAATATCTATCTATCTATCTATCTATCTATCTATCTATCTATCTTCTCTTTCTATCTATCTATCTATCTATCTATCTATCTATCTATGTCTGTCAGTTATAATCTATGCTAACTACCTCTTTCTTTCCTTTTTATCTCTCTATATCTCCTGTTCACACTATTTCCTCTTATTCTCTCTTTTGCTGTTATAATTTTCTCCCTTTTATTTTTAAGATGAAAAGCTAAATTTAAAATTCCTATGAACACTGGCAAAAATGATGGACACAACACTTTTTGTCTTAGCAAAACAACACTCTGATTATGACATTGTGCTAATGTCAAAAGTTATATATATATATATATATATATATATATATAAACAAGTTTAATAAAAAAAGGGCCCAGAAAATCTGTTGTGTGATTTTTTATTTTATTTTTTCCAATTCTTGGATGAGGTTTGAGTAGTGTTCTCGAGGTCTTGGATAAATTATTCGAAGTTCATATTTCGTTATTTTTGTTCAAGTATTTTCGACTAACTCAGTTATTATCTACAACCAATGAGGGGTCTATGTCATCGTTACAATTCCTTTGTCTAAATCCTGGTATATTTTGGAAAGCTGGAAGTTTGAAATGCTTTAGCGTGATATCATGTGTAATGGCTATAACATCAAAACGTTTGATTCTTCTCGTTCCACTACCCATGTCTCGTGTTATCTCGTTTTGTTCTTATTTTAGTACTGATAAGCTATTGTTCGCTTGGTTTCAACTGAGTCCAAATTTACTGACTGGCCCAGGCATTGAACTCACCATCCAGGTAGGGATTAATATCAGTGAAGATTAATTTCTCTACACTTTTTGTTTGGTGGGGACAAGTCTACGAGAAGGGCAACGCTGGTTTTAAAACTGGTTGGGTGTTTCGTATCCAATAATAATAATGTTGAGGGGTTCTCCCCTTTTTACACAAATGGACTCATCCAGGGTATACATATACTACTGCTAGTGAATACCCGGGAGAAGAACGAGAAAGAGTGAAGAACAGAGCACGAATCAAAACGAACGTAACAAGCAAGAATCACAATGAGCAAATACGTCGATACCAAAGATTATATATATATTTTGCTACTAACCCGCCTTCGTGGAACTACTAACCTGCATTACCAGTTTGTATTATTACATTAATAGATTTATTTTCCTATATTCCTTCTGGCGTTTGTTATTTATTGGTACCGGATTTCATCCCGGAATCCACAACAAATAATAATAATAATAATAATAATAATAATAAGAAGAAGAAGAAGAAGAAGAAGGCGAAGCCACAGTAGTAATATCTACAGGTTGCGTTCCAATATTCCACAGAGGAGTCTCGACTATTAACGACTAATAATACGCAATATTAGCGGTTTTGAAGTGGCCTATCGGCTTCAGTCATTTCCCACACCCTATCGTAGCTTCCCTGTGCATTTTCATAAATATTTTCAGGGAAAATGTTTTCATGAGCCTTCTTCTCTGGAAAATCGATTTGAATTTAAGCGTAGTTGGCAGATAGGTCTGAACATTTTACTGATGAAATGTCTACGTGTAACCTCAAGTTCTATTCTAATACATTCTTCTCTCGCACTTCTCGCGTGTGGAACTCTTTCCATCTTCTTGCTTTCCTGTTAAATACGATCTTTAGAAATTAAAATGTAACATCAATAATCAACTTTTTTTTTAAAGTCCTTTCTTCGCAATAACTTTAACTCAGTCTCTTTCACTATTATTAACCCCTTGAGTCTTTATCGCCTTGCTTGGGATTAATTTATTTGAAAAAAATTAAACCAACCCAAACCAATCCGACAAAACCTTAGGCACTTCAAAGTGGTCTAACGATTAGCAAGCTTGGCTTGCTAGATCAGTTACGACTTGGTAGGCTCATATCGGCTTTCTGTCACAACTAAGCTGCCGAAGCTGCGCCCACACCATTGCTTTAAAGAGGGCGTTCATACTGATGCCATCGCGACTGATGTTTGCGTGTGGTGGACAATTTTTGTCCCAGGCCTGAGTGTACACCCTCGGGTTCCCCATATTAAACCCGACCTTTTGTCATATCTCGTTTTAATAGGGAGGCTGGGGTAAATAAACCAGTCGAATTCTTGTGAGAACTTGAATCTGCTTTTATTTGGATACATTATATAATCAAGCAACAATGCTTTATGAAATGAAGACACATTCCTTTGTAGAGCGGCCGGTTCATTAAAAAAAAAAAAAAACCTTTAGGATCAGGAAATTTCATGAATGAAACAAAAGCAGTCAATGACAATGACAGTGAAAATGAAGACGCCATGGCTATTGAAACTTTTTAAGCTCTCCCTGAAAGATGAAGAAGAGACTTGAAGCAACAGAATCATAGCTCTCCAGAAAGATGCTGAGGATATTATGGACCGAACATATGGTGAACTAAGAGGTTTGAGAGAATACTGGATCAAAAAGGAAATTTACAGTTAACACCAGGATGAAGCTATTGAAATTTCTGAAGCACGTATTAAGGAAGGAGGGCTTGGAAAATCTGATACTCATAGGAGTGACTGAAAGAAATTGAGACAAAGGAAAGCAGTACATAACATGCTAGGTGGACTTGAGTAAATGGATGGGAGATAAAACAAAACGACAATACTTATTAAGAGCTACAGGAGACAGAAAGATGTGGAGGCTCATGATCGCCTATATCTTGAAGGGACACGGTACATAAAAAAAGAAGAAAGAAAATACAGATGAAATGGTCTAGTGAAAGCAAATTCTGCATATCTGCTCATTGTACTTACTAGCCAGGGCATGGGCAAACTTTTTCGAATAGTGGGCTGCATAAGGTGGGCCAGACTACTAAAAAGGTAATTTTTCATTAAAGACGCCACAGCCATTTTCCCAACAAAAGAGCATGCGCGTAAGCATCTGCCATAGAAATGAAGTAAAGTATACTTTTTTTTTTTAGAAAAAGATCCCTTCTATAATTAAAAAAACAAAACAAAACAAAAAAAACCTTGAAATCTTGGTATAATATCATCACTGAAGACAGAGAGATTGGCACATTTAATTTATTCATTTGGCAATGCAAAAACATTTTTTTAAAAAAAGTATATTGAATTTCAGCGTAGTACTAGATTGGCAGATAGGTCTCAACATTTTACTGTTGAAATGTCTAAGTGTAACCTCAAGTTCTATTCTAATACATTCGTCTCTCGCACTTCTCGCCTGTGGAACTCCCTTCCATCTTCCTTCTTTCCTGTTAAATACGATCTTTAGAAAAAATAATGTAACATTATTAATCAGCATTTAAAGACGCCACGGCCATTTTCCCAACAAAAGAGCATGCGCGTAAACATCTGCCATAGAAATGAAGTAAAGTATATTTTTTCTTTGGAGAAAAGATCCCTTCTTTAATTAAAATAAAAAAAACCCCCAAATCCATAAAGTCTTGGTATAATATTATCCCTGATGACAGAGAGATTAGCACATGCGGTTGCGTGGGACTAGTTTTTAATTTATTTATTTTGGCGATGCAAAAACATTTTTAAAAGCAGTATATTTATTTCATAGAGAAAAAATAATTATCATTAACGTTTACTGTTTCTGAAGGAAAAGGTTGTTTACACTTATGAACTTCCTTAGTGAAAATCGCCAATTATTTAAAATGCTGACAACGTTATCTTCAACGAAAAGTTTACAAAACTTCACGAAACATTGTACTTAATCATTGTTTATGTATGTGGCTATGCACGAGAGAGTGTGTGGGTGAACAAGTGAGAACGAAAGGAAACAACATTTTAATAACGTTATTTTCTTCGTGGAATTTGGCGTGCCAATTAGAATGTCAGTCAGGCCGCATGTGGGCCGCGGGCCGCAGTTTGCCGATGACAGCTCTAGGCAAACTAGAGGAGTACTTTGAAGGTGATACGGACAGCCGTGACCAAATAAGCTTTCAAAAGCCATTTCATGAATTAAATCGGCAAGATTATAACAGGTGATTTAGGGATATAGAACTGAAGGTACTATATCCCCACATCAACTCTTATAATCTAGCATACCATTTCCTTATTAATATTCAGGGTTTATATATACAGTTGTATACATTTATATCTGCACTTTTATTTTTGTGAGGCCTATTTTTCTATCCTTGTGCCTATATACACGTCCTTCCTTGAACTGTTTGTGTCAAGCAAAAGACACTATCGCATAATACTTGCTTTGAATACTGCTGTTACATATGGTCTAGTGCTGCGGCTAAATATTTAGAGTTTTTTGAGAAAATCCAATGAAAAACCTGCAAATTTATCGGTCTTCATCTGGCATCACCTTCTCAGTCACTTTCCCACCGCCGTAATGTAGCTTCCCTGTGCCTTTTCTATAAATACTTCCAGGGTAATTGTTCTGATGACATTTACGCTATGAGGTATTATGGTGGCGGTAGTAAGAATGGTAAGTAAGAGCGTGTTGTTTTGGTGTAGGAATACTGTGGTATATTTGGGGCAGTAACCGTGGCTAGCTAAGTTTAAGATAGATTGAATACCGGTTTTCCCGTATGCACCCCTTGACCTTGTGCCACATTTTTGTATTATATCAAAATAATTATTACCTTCCTTGTTGATAGGGCTGCACAGAGACTTTGAGGCATTATGATGACTGAAGTAAGAATTTTATGAATATGCTGTTTTGGTGTAAGGAATACTGTGGTATGCTTGAGTCAGTAATCCTGACTAGCTAAGTTTATGATAAGACAGATTAAAAACCATCCTTCCCCTATGCACCCGTGTTGGTCTTGTGCCATTTTTGTATTATATCAAAATGATTATTATTAGGTTGGTGCACAAATAATGACGTAAGAATATCGTTTTTTGACGTTAAAAAATACGTCAAAAATCGACATTATTACTTCATTATTTTTGCACCAACCTAATACTTTCCTTGCTGTTAGGCCTACATAGAATCTCTGATGGTACTATGTAGTAGGAATGGTAAGAAAGAATGTGTTGTTTTGGTGGAAGGAGTACATGTGGTATATTTGGGGGTCAATAACCGTAGCTAGATAAGTTTCAGACAAGACAGATTGAACCCCAGCCTTCCCCTGTCCCCACTTTTGACACTGTGCCACATTTTTGTATTATATCAAGATAAATATTACTTTCCGCTATGGTACCTAGACCGTACATGGTCTCCTCATATCAGAGTTCAGTTGGCTAGATACCACATTAAACTCCATGGTAACAGTTTCTTTTTTCGCACTTCTCGCTTGTGAAACTCTTATCCGCCTTCCTTCTTTCCAGCCAACTTTGATACAGGGGGTTCTCGACTTACGTCGGAGATCCGTTCCTACGACGCCACGTAACCTGATTTTCGACGTAGGCCGGATATCACCTACATAAACACCGACGAGTCTGCCTTACGCTTTGGAGCCATAATGAAAAATAAAAGGTTGCCCCCAAAACCGACACAAACGAGTGATAGCAAATGTAGTACAATCCAATATGGCGTACAGCCCGTGAAGACACAACACTGACTTCCGCGTGAATACGTATTATATTATGGGAGATGGCGCTGTAACTACGAAACGCAGTACATCGGATACGATGTAACCCGAGGACCTTCCCTATTGGAAAAAGTAAATGCACAGTCATTTGTTATTTAGTGTCATCTTGATGTCTCTTCTTTTGTTGTTCTCGGTCATTAATAATGTTTATTATTATTATTATTTCACATTCATTAACCCATTTGTGCTTACTTAAATTTATTCCCCTGCGTGGGTTGAAATAATTAAAAAATACTTTACTAATCATTAATGAAAATAAATTTGACAAAACGGGCGAGATTTTTTCTTTAAATATAGTAAAAGCTCGAATTAACGGTCGCGGAACTAACGGACTCCGGATTAAACGGACAAAATTTTCAGAAATTGTAGTGTCCAGTTGGAAGTCAAAAAGCACGCGCATAGTGTTGTGGAGTCTTGTATTTGTACTAAATTGGTCCTAAAATAGGTTCGACGTACCAAACGTTAGGAACTTGATATAATAGGTATTACGCAGAGTAATCTTGTTGGGGTCGCTGACTACTTTCGTATCGACTAACTGTCGACTACTGTCGTCCGACATCGACTAGTATTTAGTCACCCCCCTACGAGGGTATCATGTGGCACAAGGCAAGTTTCCTGTGGGATCTCCGAGCCCGTGGGATCGGCCAAAAATATGCCCTTTGAACCCGTATAAATGGGTTCAGGGTCGGTTTACCTCCCCGAACGAGACTCCGCCCTTCGGCGTAGCCTCATTCGGGTTCCTCCCCGCCCGAAGGCAGAAAGTTCAACCGTTCAGCCAGTCGTCCGACATCGACTGACCGTCGTTACTATTACTACTCCTACTTATATAAGGTGGGAGAGTTATTAACTATAGAATAGGGGTGTTTCCCCATAACACTTAATGAGCAAAGTCCGTTAGTTCCAGAATAGTCCGCTGTTGTTTACTGGTGCAATCAAGAGACAGAGACTAGTACTTCTAGGAGTAGCCGCTGATGTTTACTTGAGCGGTCGTCGTCTACACACACGCATTATCTCTTGAACCTTTTACACAGACTTTGGTGAAGTATGCAGTATTATTTTTTTGGCAAGCAATAGTGATTCCGAGGAAGACTGAGAATGTCTAACCTGCCTGATTCTGTTGACAATCTCCTAAAAGTTATTGAAGCAGCCAAGAATCGGGAAATTAAGGCATATTTTCAACACCTTTGAAAATTAAGGGAATTGATAATTCGCGAACACTATCAAAGTGGGAAAGAATTTCAGTTGGATTCGTTCTTCCAGACCAAACAGGCGGTTCAGGAAAGCGACCCCGATTCGCCACCACAACTTTCTCCCACCAGGACGCCATTATCATCCCAAGCACCAGCAGTTCGTCGTAGGAGTTCCATGGCTTCCAGTAATTACTACTGTGAGGCCCCACGATACGATCACGGCACTTTCACAGCAGTATAAGACGATTAAAGCAATGTTTAAAGGTAACTTTAGGTAAACCTTAAGACTTTTCAAACTTTATTTAAAGGTAAATTTAAAACGTAAAATACACATCTATCTATCTATCTATCTATTTGTGAGGGCCGGCTGCAAAGTTATCTGCACGATCCAATTCTATCTATTTATCTATCTATCTATCTATCTATCTATCTGCGAGGGCCGGCTGCAAAGTTATCTGCACGATCCAATTCTATCTATCTATCTATCTATCTATCTATCTATCTATCTATTTGTGAGGGCCGGCTGCAAAGTTATCTGCACGATCCAATTCTATCTATTTATTTATCTATCTATCTATCTGCGAGGGCCGGCTGCAAAGTTATCTGCACGATCCAATTCTATCTATCTATCTATCTATCTATCTATCTATCTATTTGTGAGGGCCGGCTGCAAAGTTGTCTGCACGATCCAATTCTATCTATTTATCTATCTATCTATCTATCTATCTATCTATCTATCTATCTATCTATCTATTTGTGAGGGGGCTGCAAAGTTGTCTGCACGATCCAATTCTATCTATTTATCTATCTATCTATCTATCTATCTATCTATCTATCTATCTATCTATCTATCTATCTATCTGCGAGGGCCGGCTGCAAAGTTATCTGCACGATCCAATTCTATCTATCTATCTATTCATCTATATCTATCTATTTGTGAGGGCCGGCTGCAAAGTTATCTGCACGATCCAATTCTATCTATTTATCTATCTATCTATCTATCTATCTATCTGCGAGGGGCCGGCTGCAAAGTTATCTGCACGATCCAATTCTATCTATCTATATCATTCATCTATCTATCTATTTGTGAGGGCTGGCTGCAAAGTTATCTGCACGATCCAATTCTATCTATTTATTTTATCTATCTATCTATTCGAGGCCGGGCTGCAAAGTTATCTGCACGATCCAATTCTATCTATCTATCATTATCTATCTATCTATTTGTGAGGGCCGGCTGCAAAGTTGTCTGCACGATCCAATTCTATCTATTTATCTATCTATCTATCTATCTATCTATCTGCGAGGGCTGGCTGCAAAGTTATCTGCACGATCCAATTCTATCTATCTATCTATCTATCTATCTATCTATCTATCTATCTATTTGTGAGGGCCGGCTGCAAAAGTTATCTGCACGATCCAATTTCTATCTATTTATTTATCTATCTATCTATTTGTGAGGGCCGGCTGCAAAGTTATCTGCACGATCCAATTCTATCTATCTATCTATCTATCTATCTATCTATCTATCTATTTGTGAGGGCCGGCTGCAAAGTTATCTGCACGATCCAATTCTATCTATCTATCTATCTATCTATCTATCTATCTATATGAGGGCCGGCTGCAAAGTTATCTGCACGATCCAATTCTATTCATCTATCTATCTATCTATCTATCTATCTATCTATTTGTGAGGGCTGGCTGCAAAGTTATCTGCACGATCCAATTCTATCTATTTATTTATCTATCTATCTATCTGCGAGGGCCGGCTGCAAAGTTATCTGCACGATCCAATTCTATCTATCTATCTATCTATCTATCTATCTATCTATCTATCTATGTGTGTGTATTTTATTTTAAGTTACTATATAGTAACTTAAAATAAAATACACACACACACACACACACACACACACACACACACACACACACACACACACACATAATATTATTATATATATATATATATATATATATATATATATATATACTGTATTTACACTTATTTACAATAATTTTGTATCGTACTGTTTTTTTTAGGCTACGAAAAAGTGCTTCAACCTACCGTCTTTAACGGACGACTCCTATATTAGTCCGTTACATTGAAGATCCACTCTAGATTTATGTCAGCATGAGAACCATGAGAAAAATATAACCAAGATAGATATTAATAATGATATATAATAATTTTTATGCAGGGTTCCCTGAGATATGAAAACTATTTCAAGGTTGGCAAAAGGTTAAAAATGTTGAAAAACGGAGGGCTAAATATTTGAAGAGACTGGGTGTACTAACCGTGGTTGGTAACCAGTCTAGAATAAGACAACCTGAAAACACTCCACTAAATTTCCCATGTCACGACAATTCACAGATAATAAAGAAAAAAAAGAAATATATGAAAGAGCATTCTGTAATTGTTCATTGTTTCTTCTTCTCTAAACTTGCTTTTTCTGCTGAACAGTCATTTTGTTTGTTTCTGTTTTTGTTTTTTGTTTTTTTTTGGCTTTTTTTATAGAAAAAAAATTCTGCTTCCTTTGTAGTAACGATAACAACATTTGCTCAACCGATACCGGGTCTTTGCCTTTTAGACGTGACGACTTCTAAGCCAGTATAATTAACTAAACACTCATATTCTCTCTTGAGTAAAGATAAAGCAAAGAAAGAAAGAAAGAAAGAAAGAAAGAAAGAAACCAACCAATAGATGATGATATACAGTTAAAGGACTCGCTTCTTTATTTATTTATAACCTTTTATTATTTTGATCGTCAGTAGAGAACAGTTCGACTGTAGAAGAGACCGAGTCCGACGCAATGTCTTATCGGAAGAATTAAGGAAAAAGCACACAAAGGCGACGGAAGCGGACTTTGATAACACCTTCCCCATATACCGACGTCAAAAAGATAAGAACACCGATATTTCACCCCACCCCCAACCCTAGTCAAGCACAATCACTCCCCAGCCATGAACGTATTTCGATCGGTTTACAAGATTACAATGGTCGAGCAATGCAGACCATTGGAAGAAAAACTTATAAAAGAATACGATATATATTGTATGTCTTTTTATGTTTACTAAGTACTGCTGAAAACATCACGACCGCAAATGAGAATTTTTCTGGGTGACTATTGTTTGATGCCAATCTTCTGAAGTTCTCCTGACTTATAGCACTGGCGCTGTAAAGTCTTCATACACACGTATCTACTCATTGTGTATTCTGTTAACTGACTTAAATATCATAGGCACTTACGTTGGATTAGCAGACGAATATTGCAGTGATTTAGTAAAAGTGACCGTCACTAACAGGTATTACGTTATGAACGACAAAATAAAACTGACTATTCATTTCTGGGTGACTTGCAGATTAATACGATGTTTGCACAAATTAATACGTCACTACTTTTGTTATATCTCAGATTGTTGCTATAAACAAAAACGTGTGCCGAATGTACGATGTGTGTTGGAGAGGAATAGAAGATTTGAATTATCAGAAGGTTTAAAATTGTATGTGTTCAATAATCTTCCATCTACAACAATTAATACAAGACATAGAATAATGATTCATAAACATCTTGTTTCAAAACGTAACAATTGAATTTATTAAGTATTTGATATATATGCAGGTGACCTGAAAAGTTAGACAGAGTTGTGTCTCTTAGACTAGGTAATATTTGTACCTAAGCTCATAAAGTGAAAGTAATTATTAAACTGTAGTTTAGAAGAATAAAGTTCCTTTAGCATTTTTGGAATTGTGAGTTGTAAAATTGGTAAAAGTTCAGAAGAGATTTCAGAGTTCGTACTTGCGTCAATGTTGGTAATGGTCTTTAACGTCTGACTGCATTAGTTAAGACGGGAGTTCTTGAAAATTACATCTTGGCAGCAAGGAATGAGACGCGAGAGAGAGGGAGTTTACACGTGTTTTGTTTTTATAATTGTGTTGTACCAAGTGGGAGGCTCAGAACAAAAACGCGGGAAAACAGATTTGTCGCGTGCAGGCGGTATGATTGGTCGGAACTGATCAACCAGCAAGCTAGATTGAAGGTGATTAACCAATGAATGCTTGTCTATGTACTGTGTTTATGTAATGTGGTGGTGATTCCCAAAGAGGAAGAGTGCATTTTCTAGCAGGGATTAAGTGGCTAATGTGGAAGATTCCACAAACGTATGAAAATAAAACACAAGTGGATTTTAACACATAAAATTTCTTTTATTCATTTACTGCCTGAGAACAACAAGTACTTGTTTGTACTTAAACTATTAGTTGCACATCTGTGTCAGATTGTCAGTATGTTGGATTCAGAAGTGAGCGCTCCGACTAGCAGACAAGGGAAGTAACTCAATTGTATTTTGAGTTATTGGTCTTTACAGGAGGAGTAAATCAGCTTCCCCTAACAACTTTGTTGTGGGATTTTACAGTACTGCTAAGAATGTGTGGATGTTTTACGCAGAGTATTCCCACAAACTGACATTTAAAATATGAATATCTGAGTAACTGAATGACGCCGGCAGACGAAATTCAATCGGCTTCATGTTTAATAATAAAAGATTTATTTTTCAAAAGTCGAACAAGATATTCAAAGGGATATAGATTTTATAAACGATTTCACAAGCCTTAACAAATGTTTAAGAGGCGCACCACTTGTTACGCCATAGCATGTCTTGCGTAATATTCTCAAGTACCATAGTCCCGACTTATCTCAATTAGAATCTTCTAGGAACATGGATCTGGCGTGCTAGTGATTATGGCTGGTGAAATGGCCACTACGTTCAGCTAACTTGACAGGTCTATATCATCCATTTCTTACAAGTAATGAATCTCTGAGGCGTTGAAGAATGTGTTGCAGATGTATTTTTATATCTCAGTTTTTTACACGCACGCACACACACACACACATACATATATATATATATATATATATATATATATATATATATATATATAATTTAGACTTATTATGTCTATTTATTTTACATTTAATCCTTTAGAATCCGCGAATAAATTTCTTGGTGGCTGGGGTAATTGATAATAAAAAATTCCAAGATTTTCTTCCAAATAATCTTTTGATTCCCTAATACTTTCAACCTCATCTGAGATCATCTTCAAGGGTTGCATGTCTATGTATGTGTTATGCGTTCACACCATAAATTCAAAATTATTTTTTACCTCTATGCAAAGTGAGGTAAGTTATCAGATTTTTAAAAGATTTTTAATTGTAGTATTTTAATTTAGCATTTTATATAACATATTGCTGCTACAAACATTCAAGAATTTTGTTTCTATACTCGTACTTGACTTTATTTATTTTTGACCGCAATTCTCTCATGGAAAGGACTTCCAGAATTTTAAATTTTTGCTTACTATTATTTTGATAAAGTACTGACGTATTTTGGACTAATATCTCTTTAAACTGTGAATGTGGCTATGTGTGTTCATTAAATGTTCTGAGATTGAACTTTGAAAATT